AGGCCAAGGTGGGTGGATCACAAGGTCAGGAGTTCAAGGCCAGCCTGACCAACATGGTGAAACCCCGTCTCTTTTTTTTTAAAAAAAAAAAAAAAGAAGAATCTTAGGAGCAAATGAGTGGGGAAATGTGTGCCGCCTTCCATAGGCATCAAGATTCTTCTTTCCTTTTATTCCTATCTCTATAGATTCTTAGCCTAAGATTTTAACAGAGAATATCACAACTAACTATGGGAACTGGGAATTACCCAGCAGCTTTCAAAGCAGCCTACAAATGATGGTAAGCCAAGGCTGCCCTCTGGCACCCTCCTCTGTGTGCCCAGGCCACATATCACAAATCATCATGGCTTGTATACCCTTTGTATATCTTTTTTTTTAAGTTCTCAGAATGCAGCAGGCACTTTGAAAACATTTGTGTATTCAAAGCAAAGTAAAACCAACAAGTTGATATGTGCATATTTGAGAAAGAAACAAGCAGACCAAACAGAAAACCTGTGGGGACAGGGTTTCTTACCCAGCTTCTGTTTAGAGATTGGGACTACACAGCTCTTGCTGCAGCCAAACGTGCAGCATTTCTTTACACCTGGACATGTCTCATCAGTGATGCACCGTTTCAAGCAGGATTGTTTCCGAATAACCCTAGGGCAATCTCTTTTCCTCCCTGTAGCAAAAAGGGAGACAGCCAAGAAAAGAGAAATAACACCCACAAGCACAGTAGAAGGGAAAAACAGAAAAAGGAAGCCCTGAGCTTCATTTCAGCCTCTGACCCTGGTGCTAAGGCAAAGACACAATAATAACAACAATAGTAATAGTAGATATTTACTGTAACATTTACTGATGTTTACCTCGCGCCATGAACACCTCATTTGATCCTCACAATTATCCCCATTTTATAGATGAAGAAACTGAGGCTAAAAGCTTAAGGTTTACAAAGAGCTAAGGCTTATTTAAGGCTTAAAAAGGTCTGCTTGGCTCTAGGGTCTACTCTCTTAAGGATTATCTTTTTTTTTTTTTTCTTAATCATTATCTTAAACAGCCTTCCCTTTACAACTCTTCCCTTCAGCCTTCACAGGAACTTTGAGTCCAAAGTAAAAGACACAGATAATCAATGTATTCTTTCCTGATAGAAGGCAAAGAACTGGGGGCCACTGAATAATTAATGGAGGAGGGACCCTAAAAGAGTAAAGAAGAAGTACTCTAGGCAAGCTAGACTTCAAGAGTCAACCTAAGAGGTGGGATGCTCTCTGCTTCTATCTATCCCAGAAGCAAAGTCAGAGAGTACACCCAGATTTTGCCCTTCATGCCAACATACCCTTAGGAATGTCTCGGCAGATTCGACCACAGCCTGTGGTGCAGCACTTCTGCCCAGCCAGACATGATGCATCACCCTGGCACAGCTCTTTGCATAGGTTCTTATCAGGAGGGCATTCTCCCTCTTTCACTGCAAAAGATATCATAGGAGTCTGGGGTAACTAACCAGGCCTCAGAAAATGGGGAATAGAGGCCAAACTATTTCAAGGACATTCAGCCCCTCCAGACATCTCTATCCAAAGTATTTCTGCACCACTACACTCTAGCCCGGGTGACAGAATGAAACCCTGTCTCTAAAAAAAGAAAAATTCTGGAACCACCTTTCCCTCCCAGCACACAACTACTAACATACATCCACCACTGCTAAAGGAGCAGCCATCCTGCAGATAACGAGAGAGAAAGGTTGGAATGATCCTGTTCTCATTTAATGAGTTCTAGGGAAAAGCTAGAACCGCTAGTAAGCCCAACTAGAAGTCCTATCTCCTTGTCCAGAGAGGGTAAAGAAAGCCTGGAAGAACTACCCAGGCCATCCTGAGAATCTGTTCATCCAGTCCTGTCCTACAGATGATCATCTCCACCTACGAGCAACCTTACTCTGGGAGAAGGCAGGGATGACTTCTCCTCTCCTCTAATCACTTTCTGTTACTGTTGGCCAGGGATCCCAAATGATAGCTCACCATGTTCTCCTGCAGTTATCCAGGATTCCAGGGACCCAAGAGCAAGAAGAAAGAGGCAGCTTAACATCATGATGATGCTGAGAGTTGGGATGAGAGCTCAGTTCAGGCCAGAGGTGTACACCTTGCCCGGAGTATTAGATGAGGTATGGGCAGGACTAGGGATGGCCCCAAACCCAGACCCAAAGCCTTCCCTTTCGCAATATGCCCCAAGAATGTCTTCTCCTGACAAGAAGAGGGATTGGCTGCAGAGTGTGGGAAAATTCCTGGCACTACCAAAGGGCAAATGTGATGGGAGGATCACACTCTTTAAGCAATATGCACAACACTCCTGGATCATGAGGAACCTAGTGGGTAGCTGGAAAAATGGAGGGATGGCCACTGCAATAAGAATCAAAGAGAGCCCCAAAGGGCATTGGAAGGACACGGCTTCAGCCCAAATGACAGACGGAGAAACTAAACACAATACTTAAGAAAATAGTCAAAGCTGGTAACATAACCAAGCATAATAAAATTGTGGCTCCTATTCATCCCAGCAACCTAGAAAAGACAGAATGGAACAGACCAGTCAGAAACTATCAAATAGGCCGAGCTACACGGATCACCTGAGGTCAGGAATTCGAGACCAGCCTGGCCAACATGGTGAAACCCTGTCTCTACTAAAAATACAAAAATTAGCTGGCTGTGGTGGTGCATGCCTGTAATCCCAGCTACTTGGGAGGCTGAAGCAGGAGAATCGCTTGAACCCAGGAGGCAGAGGTTGCAGTGAGCAGAGATTGTGCCACTGCACTCTAGCTTGGGTGACAGAGCAAGACTGTCTCAAAAAAAAAAGAAAAAATAAACTAACAAAATCCTACAGAAAAGCAGTAGTTGAGTTTGTTAAGAACTAATGTAAAAGCACCAAACACCTGCATCTTTGTCCCTCTAGCCCACACAGGCCATTCTTGGACTGTATGAAGGCCAGCTGGCAGAACCCGAGAGAACAGTTGCTATGTCTGACTCAAATAGTCCGCCCACACATACCTCCTTTTTCTTTTTCCTCTATTTCTTTTTCTTTATCTGTCCTGCTCATGCATTTGGTCAGCTGTGACACCTAATGGTGTCTACTGGCACTGCTTAGTCCTAGGGACAGAGGATATTCAAGGTACAAGGTAAAAACCTCCTTAGTAGGGCCAAAAAGTTTGAAGCCAGGAAGTTGCCCTTATTGTTATAAGGCTGATGTGGCCTCTGGAGATAATTAACATTTGATGATGACCTAACATGCGCCTAATATGCTTTTTGTTTTGAGACAGAGTCTCCCTCTGTCACCCAGGCTGGAATGCAGTGGCCTGATCTCAGCTCACTGCAGCCTCTGCCTTCCAGGTTCCGGCAATTCTCATGCCTCAGGTTCCCAAGTAGCTGGGACTACAGGCACCCAACACTACCCCTGGCTAATTTTTGTAGTTTTAGTAGAGATGGGGTTTCGTTATGTTGGCCAGTCTGGTCTTGAACTCCACCCACCTTGGCCTCCCAAAGTGCTGGGATTACAGGCATGAGCCACCATGCCTAGCCTGCGTTATATATTTTAATCCTCACACTTATCTTGCAGAGGTAAGAAAATGGATTCAGAGGAGCTAAGAAAAAATGCCCATAAGTGGCACTTACTGGAATTTCATAATAGTAACTACAGACAGCATTGTTTGAGGGTTTACTCATGCTAGTTTTAAGCACTTTACATGAGTTAACTCACTAATCCTCACTACAACCCTATAAACTAGATGTTGTTATCCCCATTTTACAGTTGGGAAAATGAAGGCACAGAGTTTAAGAACTGTGGGTCACACAGCTAATAAGTGGTGAAACAGAGGCAAGCAGTCCAATTCCATAGCCAGTCCAATAGCCAATTTTCTTAGCCACCATACTATACCAAATTTTAACCCAGATATTTCTAACCGCAAGACTCATGCAATTTCCACTACTCTTGTATTGTGACCTGGGAAGAGTAACAGGCTCTACCACCATAAATGGATCCAATTATATTCAGGGATGTCTTACCTCTGAGACAGAGCTAAGGGAACCTCTGGAGAACTCCACCTTGTTAAGTCCCTGCAATCCTAGCCCATCCCAGAATCACCTGTCTGGGGACAGAGGCTCAGATCTTCGGGGCTGGTCAACACGCAGCCTTCATTCTGGTGCCTTCAGACACAAGAGGCAGCCACTGCGGTCAAAGCCTGGAGTGACCCAGTGAGTGTTCTGGGATGGCACGGACTGGAGGCCCCTTTGTTGAGTGCCTCAATCTTCGCATTAGGCCCACTCCAATGTTGGAGGCTGAGGGTCCAGAATATTAAAATCTTTTTTTTCTTTTCTTTTTTTTTTTTTTGAGACAGAGTCTCACACTGTCACCCAGGCTGGAC